AGTAGGAAATGCTAACAACTACCCATTATAACATGGGTACATCTGCCCCTAATCAGTTTAAACACATTAAAAAGTAACTACCTTGCATAATTTTGTTGCAATGAAAAAACTACCATAGGCAGTTTACAACAAAACAAAAAATGCTGCCCATTTTTTGTTAATCAATAAAAAATTATGCTCGAAGATTTTAAAAATTATGTTCAGAGGTCTTAAAAATCATGCCCAGAGGTCTTACAGAATCGACCCAGACAACATCGTAAGTCAAAAAAATAAAGAATCAATCAGGACAATATCGCGAATAGAAATTATGCTCGAAAGTCTTAAAAATCATGCTTGGAGGTCTTACAGAATCGATCGAAATAACACCGCAAGTCAAAAAATAAAGAATCGATCAGGATAACATCACGAATCAAAATTATGTCCGAAGGTCTTACAGAATCAACCGGGATAACATCACAAGTCAAAAAAATAAGAAAATAATCGGGACAACACCACGAGTTAAAAAGTAAAGAATCGATTGAGACAACACCACGAGTCAAATCATGCCCGAAGTTTTAAAAATTATGCCTAGAGGTCTTAGAGATTATGCTCGAAAGTCTTACAAATTTTAAAATTTTTGAATGCTTCTCTAATCAAAGGTAATGAACTTTAAAAATTTAAAAATCTTTTACCAAAGGTCTTGAAAGTTGTGCCAAGAGGTCTTAAAGATTATGCCCGGAGGTCTTATAAATCTCAAAATCTTTGAATACTCATCCTAATCAGAGGTAATGAAACTTTAAAAATTTTAAAATCTTTTGCTCGAAGTTTTGAAAGTTGTGTTCGGAGGTCTTAAAAATTTCAAAATCTTTGAATACTCCTTTGATCAGAGGTCGTGAAACTTTAAAACGTTGAAAGTTGAAAATGGCTTTCCCTCAATTAGAGTTGATAAATGCAATCATGATACAAAATGTCTATTCTCATCAAATGATGCTAATAAAAATGTCGATGTGAATGAAAATGCCAATGCAAATGCAAGAATATGAATGCTTGATGTGAATATATTTAACTTTTTCACAATGCAAATGGTAATGTTCTTTTAATGTAAATGCCCCTACAAATACATTTTCTTAGGATACAGATGCCATGCTGCAAATACAAATTTTTCTTATGGTGCGAAATCAAATGTCTTATACAAGTGCGAATGTAAATGATGCAAATGTAAATGTCCCTTTAATGATGCACAGGCAAGTATGCAACTATGAATGTCTTTTTTTTTTATGATGCAGGTTAAATGTCTTTTTTATGTGCAAGTGATGCAAATGCAAAGATTGTTTTTGTTTTTATTTTTAATAGATCTATGTTTAAATTTTCAATGTTTAATTTTCACCAAAAATGATCTTGGTGTTATGTACAAAATGCTCAAATAATCTCTAAAATTTTTAAAAATAATAAAAATTACCCCACATAAAATATCTTTACAATCAATGAAAAAAAGTTAAAAATTCAAGACTTTTGAATCTCTTGAAAATTAATGAATACTATTTGGAAAGCTTATAGGTGGGGTAATTGACAATTTAGTTCTTTTCACTAGTGGGCATATCTCATGGAAAGCTCAATGAAGATTGCAAAGATTTTTTTAGGCTTACCAAAGAGAATTTTTTAAAAACACTTTTCTTTTATTGAAAATGTGATACTTTAATATGTGTCAAAACTAGCTATTACTTTTCAAACAAGATTTGGGAAGATGACAAGGCTAGTTTTTTTTTTTTTTTTTGAAATGAAAGGTCTTTAATAGGTATTGGTCTTTCAAAAGGCTTTACATCAAGGTTTTTTATTCTGGATAGAACCTTAGAACTTTAAAATTCATTTTAGGGCCTTAAAAATGATTTTAGCTCTAAACTGCCCTCTTGAGGTTTTTACCTTAGAGCTATATTTTTAATCAATGAAGAACTTGCTGAAATCTTGTCAAATACCAACAAGAATGTACAAATTTTCAAGGACATTGCTCGTCAATCCAAGTGTCCACATTTGATCAAAATGAACTTTTCAAGGTATGTAATGTAGGCTAAAGTTAGGGGTTCTGAAAAATGCATAAATAGGCTCAAAATATGTTATTTAGGGTAATTAGGCCAAGGATCATGAAAAGCATTCTTTGGCTTTCTTTGTTTGTGTTTTTTTTTTTGTTCACTTTGTTTTTTTTTTTTTAAACATTTGGCTTTAGTTTTAGCAACTTTATTCATTTTTTCCCTGAATTCTCATTTTCAAGGTACATATTTTTTTTAATTTTTTTTTTAGAATTCTAACTGAAGCTTCAGATTCTTATCTCCAAGGTTTCTTTACTCTTCTTTGAAAATGACTAACTTCATCTTTAGTTATCTACTTTATTGAATTCTTGGGATTTCAATTGAAGCCTTATTCACTTTTTTATCCCGAAATCTCATCTTCGAATATCAAACACTTTCATTGAAGTTGGTTTCTTAAAGGTATCCTTATTTTGCCCTTAATGTAGAAAACGATCCTTGGCCGAGGTTCACTTTAGAACAAAAAATTTAATAGGCTCAAATGGATAGCAAGTGGATAATTTTTATATATGAAAAGGATAAAGAAAAATGACCATTCGTCATTTCAAACGTGATCACTTGGTTTGAAAACAAATTATTGAAGAATGGGATAAAATATTTTTTTCATTTTTTTGTCTTTTTTTTTGCTTTTGCATTTTTTTCTTTTTTTTTTTAATGCCCCATTTTGTTTTTCACTCAAGGTTCTTATGATGATAAAAATCAAATTACATGGGATTGATCGTATAGTTCTAAAAGGCTCTTTAGGCTACAAATTGTTTTTCAAAAATCCTTTTGCATAACATGAAAGAACAAATCAAAATGAGTTATTGAAATTTTGTGCTAAAAAAAAGATTGATCGAAGATAGTCGACGGTGATATGTGTGGTGGTCAAAAATGGTAGTTAGAGAGAGAAAGTGTGAGCTAGAGATTGAGGAAATTTAGAGAGAAAAAAAGCAAAATGAATAAAAAGAATTTGTTGTAATTTATATAGATTTAGTTAAATGAGATGGTGGATGATTTGGCAAATGATATAGCAGTCATGTCATTTTTCTATCAAAATTTGGATAAAATCTATTAGGTGACCACATTTAGTACATTTAACAAGTTTTAAAGATGTTTTTGGGACAAATTAAATTTCAATGACTTATTTGAGATATGGATGTTAGTTTAGTGACCATCTATAAAATTTACTCTAAATACAAGTGATGATCAAACTTATAACTTAACTCAAATGATTTATCAACTTAAGATTGATTATAATTATATTATTATTTATATATGGTCAAATTATTTCGAAAGTCTTAGGATTCTACAAATATTTAAAATTTAGTCCCTATATTGTACTTTATACTAATTTAGTTTTTATACTATTTTAATTTGATAATCTTAGTATAATTACTAACTTTGTTAATTTTTTACTATTAAAAATACTGATGTGACCATTGACTTGATGATATAGATGTTGACTTTGCTAATATAGCGTTGATTGGTTAACATGATAACTTGGATGAATGAAATTAATTGTTGAATTATGCAATGGTCTTTTTACTAACATGAAATTTAGAATTTAAATTTTTATAAAAATTCTTCAAACTCTTTATAAAAAGAGTTTATAAATTTAAAAAAAAATTTACACTTTTTTATTTTATTTAGATAAAGAATAAATCGAAATCAGAAGCTCTTTGCTCTTTGTTATTTCTCTATTTTATCCAAGATTTTTTTGGCTATTTTACCTAAAATAAACCAAAACAAAATAAATTCTAAAAGCCTATGTTTTCTTTATAATTTATTTATTTATTATTTAAATAATAAAAAATATAAAAATTTTCTAAAAAATATAAAAATTCAAAAAATTATAAAAATTCAAAAAAGTTAAAAACAAAAAATTAAATATTTTGATTAAACAAAATGGTATATTTGAAAATTTGAAAATTCAAAAATTCAAAAAATGATTTTTACTTAAAAATTAAACTATTGAAAAAAGTACATTTAATATTTTTTAATAAACTAGAGAATTTCTAAAAAATTCAAAATGTTAAATTTTTATTAATAATTTACCAACATTATTAATTTCAACTTGTACAAAAATAAAATTTTTATGAAATTATATTAGAGAGATTAAATTTTAAATTTTGTTCGAGTAAATGAATCATTTGTATAATTTAATAATTAATTTCATTCATTCAAGTTGACAAGTCAGTAAATCAACATCACGTTTGTAAAGTTATGTTCATGTCATTAAGTCAACAGTTATGTTAATATTTTTAATGGTAAAAAATTGATGAAGTTAGTAATTAGACTAAACTTATTAAATTAAAATAATATAAAGACTAAATTTATAGGAATTACAATACAAAACCTAAATTTTAAATTTTTGTAGAATTTAGAAACCTCCTATATAAAATTTGACCTTTATATATTTATTGTATTCAATTTGACAATTTATTATTTAAAAAATGCCACAATTTATGTGATTAACCTAATTCACTAAAAGATTTGTGTTGTATAAAAATGTTTAGCTACTTGATAGTAATTTACGTAAGTTTTTTCTTGTAAGAAAGAGACAAAGAAGGAAATAAAATGAGTGTAATGAAAGGGTAGAAAGACTTCTGTCGTAGGAAAAGATCTTAAATTTTTTAGTACTTTCTTTTTTTATATTTTTTATGATAATTTTTTTAATATTTTAAATTTAAAATTAATTCAATTGATTTATAGTTACTTTTTAAAAAATTATTTAATTAATTTAAATTTTAGTATTACAATTTTTTTAAATTTCAAATTAAAATATTCTGAATACTAATTTTCTTTTCTTTTTATATATTTTTATCAAACATAGATATACACAATTACAAAAGAATGTGATAGAAATTAAGTAACACCAAAGGGCTTTAATATTTATTTATTTACGAGAGTAAGGGTTTAATTGACAAGGCATTGAACATTGGTTGAGTTGATGGGAAAACACGCGCTAGCAATGCGGCTAGGCATTGACAGTTGATCCTAGAAGCAGTGTCAAACAATAAACAAAAACGGGAAATAAATTAAATCGCCGGCTTTTTTATGTGTTTGGAACAAGGCCAATTTAGCTAAGAAAGAATTCCAATTTCCAACCCGCCTGCTGCTTCTTCGACCCAGCTCTCCCTCTCGCTCTCTCTCTTTCACGAACGACAATACAAAAGTACAAGTAAAAACCAAAAGCCAAAACCAAATACAAAAAGAAAGAAAAAAATCCAAGAACAAACATCCTCTAACGAATCAAAAACCCATTTGTGAGAGCTTAATCTTTTCTTTTTCATATATATAAACAGTCCCAATACTCATCTCTTTTCTCTGTTTCTTGTTTCATGCTCTGTCTGCCCTAGATCTCAATGTCTTCTTGATTTTTGCATCTTTGAAATCCTAAGATTTTAAGATCTCTTTCATTTTCTTCAATCAGCTCCATTCCTCAGGTAACTTGCTTCTCATTTTCTTTTAGTTGCTGCCTTGTTTTAGTTTTTGTTTTATAATAAATGAGATAATTGTATTCTTTATGATGTTTTTGGCGGGGGAGGGTGGTATTGACTAAGGAGGGAAATTGAGTGTGGAAACGTTTGTTATTTTTTTCTCTTGTTGGATTTGAATGAGTCTTAGGTTTTTGGTAGGTTGGACCAGTGAGGTCGTCGATTTGGGTTGACTTTTTGTGACACTCTTCTCCTTATTTTGGACAGAAATTGTTGGAAGAAGCTGCGTTTGGTTTTAGTAGTTAGGCAAATCCACAATTTTGCATTTCTTTCTTCGCTTCATGCTATATGGTTTGACTTTTTTATGACACTCTTCTCCTTATTTTGGACAGAAATTGTTGGAAGAAGCTGCGTTTGGTTTTAGTAGTTAGGCAAATCCAATTTTGCATTTCTTTCTTCGCTTCATGCTATATGGTTTGACTTTTTTATGACACTCTTCTCCTTATTTTGGACAGAAATTGTTGGAAGAAGCTGCGTTTGGTTTTAGCAGTTAGGCAAATCCACAATTTTGCATTTCTTTCCTCACTTCATGCTATATCTGTTTTGAGCCGTTGGATTGCCCAGCAAAAGAAAAGAAAAAAGAAAGTAAATTTTGTATTCTGGGTTTTATTTATTTTAAAATGTATAGAAAATAAGCTTCAGTTTACGGGCTTTTTTTTTTTTTTTTTTTTTTAATTATAGCTCCATTGCTGAAGTTTTAAGGTTAAGGATTTGATCGGGTTTGTTGCACTTGGTATGTAAGTTGACTCTTATGACCAAGTTTTGTATTTTGGTCTCAAGGATGCTTGTGTCACAATATTGTAACCCTTTTGCCTATGGTTGCCTTTCTCAGATCACAGTACATTGATCAATTGAAGAATCTTTGGTTGGTTGCTGAATACTAACTCATTTCTTTTAGAGAAAATTGGAGACAAAAGAGAATCAAAATGAACATAGAGCTCTGGTGTTTGTACTAGATGAAGGGAGCTCAGGGGTGGCAACTAGGCAGCATGGCTGATATGCAGATCTTGCCTGGGTCTCGCCACCGCCCTTCTTTGAAGAGGCCCATATGGATTATTTTCTTGGTTTCTTTAGTCAGCCTTTTTCTAGTTTGTGCTTATATCTATCCGCCACATGGCAATGCTGCTTGCTACGTATTTTCTTCTGGAGGTTGCAAGGCGCTTACTAATTGGCTTCCTCCCGCTCCTGCAAGGGAATTAACTGACGAGGAGATTATATCATGGGTTGTGTTTAGGGATATTTTGAATACACCTCCTGTCCAATCTAAAAATTCTAAAATTGCATTCATGTTCTTAACTCCAAGTTCACTGCCTTTTGAGAAGCTTTGGGATATGTTTTTCCGTGTAAGTTATTCTTTTTTGGCTGGTAGTTCGTTTTTCCTTTCTATAATCTAATGTCTTCATATGCTTCATGGATATTTTATTATCCCATTTAATGTCATGATTATTATTCTTGAAGTTGGCTTTCGTGAACTGATATATTGGGAAGAAATTCATTCAAAGTTTGGTCCTGTATAAAAAGGTTGGATGGATCGCATACAGAATTTACCATGTAAAAGATGTTTGCTAAGAAAGAAATCACATTTTTGTGTGCAGGCCTCATGTACCCTGCCTGTTTCGGGTTTTAATTTTTTCTGTTCCTGAAGTAATTTGGATGTCTATTTGTTAATGCGTTTTTTTTTTTTTTTTTTGGTATTGTTACAAATTGGAAAATTTTTTTTGGTTGAGAAATCTTGGATGAGGAATGAGGCCATAATGGAGAAATGTTGTACATATGTAGCCATAACATTGCATTTATATCAGCTGGAAAAACCTAGTAGAGATTTTGGGCCTTGACCATAGTGTTAGTAGGGGGTGAAGTGAGGACTCTGGGTAATAAAGCTGCTATTTTATATCTGTACTGTTAGGTAATCGAGGGAGAAGATGGCTTTGTGTTTTGGAGTAGTCTACCTACTTTAACTAGAGCTCTTAGATAGTTTGGATCCTTTCTTAAGTATTTAATTTTTTTCATTATTATGTTTTTCAAACCTTTTGCTGGAAATTTCTTGGTTTAGCTTGTCAGTAATTATATGAACATCTGGAGGTTTCTCACCGCCTTGATGCTGTAGATAGTGGTGCAGATATGAACTATCTTATGACTGGACCTATGGGGAAATTGATAAGGGACATTTTCATAATACTTGTCAGGTCATTTTCATAAACCTTTTGCCGTAGGTGTTTTTATGCTGCATAAGAATGCAGTTTGCATGTGTGAGTAAATTTATGATCATTATCTGAAGAAAGTGTCAATAGTTGTGATTTATAACCTCAAGATGGGAATTAAGAACCATTTCAGGTCATTACATTAGATTTAGAAGTAGAAAAAGTAAAATGTTGAGTTCGATGAGGGACTGAAGCTGTTTTATGTTATTGCATGCAGACATGCTGGTGGAAAGGGAAAGTTAGATTACTGGTTTAATTCCTATAATAACATTTTTGTCTGTCTGGACTAATTAGAAACCTATAGTACTTAGTGTAGGCAACATGGAGTTTTTGAGTATTACTTAAAATCTGCTGGCTGTCTGAAGCCTATTTGTGAATCAAATGGTAAATTTGTCTCTTCTGGTGATTCAAATAAAGTATTTCAGGTTGGCACTTTCCTAGTTTTTGTGTCAGGGAATTGTCTAATATAAATGATAGTCTAATGTATTTCATTCTAGTAAACTGCATTTCCTTTGTTGATTGTGGATGTTAATGTGGGTTAAAGTGTGTGGTGAAGGTACTAGCGATATCAATCTATATTTGCCTGCTTTTTATGTATCGGGATGCTTTTATTGGTAACTTTTTAGTTATGTTTGACTGTCTTCCCAGTTCGTACTGTTTCTGTTGAATTCTAGCAGAAAGGAATTATAACCATTATCTTTTTTTTTTTCCTGCATTTGTGGCTTTCAGTTAACTTTTAAGAGGTTATTTCCCCTGTATCTTTATAAAAAATTTGCTCATTTTTCCTGGCAGGGGCATGAGGGAAAATTTTCTGTTTATGTCCATGCATCAAAAGAAAAACCAGTGCATGTGAGCCGTTACTTTCTTAACCGAGAAATTCGCAGTGGTGAGGTATTTATCTTAGTTTAAAATTTTATGATAGGTTGTTATATCTCTCTCTCTCTTTTTTTTTTTCTTTTTTTTCCCTTCAATCTGATATTTTGTTAAATTGGAAATTATCTTTCCATGCTTCTGCATTTTGGAAGCACTTGCCAAGTATCCTGATTTTACAATGGTCATTAAAAAAATATAGTGATTCATTCACTGTGGACTTGAAAATGGCCCCAGCAGAAAAGCTGATAGTCAACTACTTAATTTCAGTAGATCAGAGGGAGAGGGGTAGACTGCCCTAGTGCCCTGCATCCTTACTTGTCTGCAATGTCAAGAGTCTGTCTCTGTTCATGTTTCTGCTTTATGAAGTCTCTCATAATTTATTGTCCAACTTTGTTTTTAGTTTGGAAAATCTCTTGAAGTAGAAACTCAAAGACATGATGATAGCACTTACCATGTCATTTGAGTATCGTGTTAAAGTTTGTTACTAATTATATACTTCAGCATCGTTTTACATCCAATTACTACTAGATACAATATTGTGCTGTGACATTTTGTTGCGTTGCTATCTCATATTTATTAGTGTTACTGTATTCCACAATTTGATGAGCTAGTAATCCTTGGATATTCTGAATTTGTAGGTTTTGTGGGGAAAAATTTCTATGGTTGATGCAGAGAGACGATTATTGGCACATGCCCTAAAAGATCCTGAAAATCAACATTTTGTGTTACTTTCTGAGAGGTAAATACGGTTTCTCTCACTTATCCCCCCTCCCACTCCCCCAAAGTTTTTTTTTTTTTTTACTTGCACTATTATCGAAATCCGAAGAACTAATTGTGACATTGCAGTTGTGTTCCATTGCATAATTTTGACTATGTCTACAACTATCTGATGCATGCTAATGTGAGTTTTGTTGACTGGTAAGTGAAATCTTAGAGTATTGCACACATGCATGTGCACATGTGATGGACTTCTTGCACTGTTTTCCCTTGTTTGACTTGTATCCACTCCTCCCCAATTGTTTGCCAGCTTTGTGGATCCTGGACCGCATGGAAATGGCAGGTATTCAGAGCGAATGTTACCTGAAGTAGAAAAGAAAAACTTCAGAAAGGGTGCGCAGGTATGTCTTAATTGATATGATAAAAGACCATTTTTATTTAGATAAATATGCATTACTATAGATCAATCTGAATGGTAAATCTGTAGCTGGGATGTGTGAATGAACTTTACCGCATTCAACTCTGCTTATGACAATACGAAGGCCTTGGGTAACTGCTGGTGTCCTATTTTTGTAAAATTTGATTGATCACCATAGTTGATGCATTTGTGTATCCTTTTCATTTTAAATGTTAACTGTTTTCTTTACCCAAAATTGTTCATGTCCTCTCCAACTACAAAAGTCTCTTGCTTTGAAATATTTCAGCCTTCAGCACACCTCTTTAAGCAAACTTATATTGTATCCTCTTGCGGCAAATTTAAATTAGTGAATTTTGTGCAGTGGTTCTCAATGAGGCGGCAGCATGCTCTGATAGTTATGGCTGACAGTCTTTACTACTCAAGGTTTCGGGATTACTGCAAGGTGAATTTGATCTTAAAATGTAGTTTGATTTACTATAATCTGTTTTGGTTTGAATTTACAAGAAGCCTCTTTGATCCATGGATGAGAGAGTTGGCTTACTTTTATTCGTTTCAAGTTAATGATTTTTTTAGAATATGTTCATCACTTCAAAAATTACTATTGAAACATATGATGAAAATTAATTTGAGTTTGCTTAAGTGAACTTTTGTGGCACATGATGCCAAAAGTAGCTCTAACAACTCTGGTTTATTGAAAAGCATTATATATTTATTAACATATGGCAGCAAAAGTGGCAGGTAAACTTGATTTCAATTTTCCTGATCTCTCGCCTTCTTTACCCTCTGACTTCATTGCTTCTTTCTGATTAAATGCTTCTCGTTTGTCAATCAAGATAAAAGCTGAATGCGTTTCAATGCTTTTTAGTAGGGTGGTGAATATCATTTAATAAAATATGTAAAACTTTTTGAGGGATATAATAGATGTTTCGTGTTAGTCAGATTGGTCTCAATTTGTGTGATCATGTTGTTTATCTCTGTCTCTTTCTATCTTAACTTTTAGCATTAGCTCAAAGACAGAACATTTCTAGATTTCAATTACTTGCCTATGAGCTACGTCAAAATAAACCATTCCTTTTTTTTGAAAGTATAGTTATTTTGAAGGAACTCTCTGGATTTATATAAATTTTAGATCAAATTAGATGTTATTTTCTGCTTAAACTAGACTGTTTAGGTTACACCTGGTAATTTTCCTAGCTTTCCTTGAGTTCCTTATACTGTACAAGGGCAGAAATCCTTCTTCAGATTAGGGGGGTAAATGAGCTAAGATAATTGTAAGGATTCAAGCTCAGCCCAAAAAACACTTGAATTTGATTATTATTGAGCCGAGTAGTTGAGCAAGCAAAATTTGAGCCTGTTATTGCTTGGCTTGAGTGGTTCACGTGCCTGCTTAAGTTTTTTTATTTTTAATAATTTTATACTATATGTATTAATATCTATTTTTTAATTAATTATTTACAATTTTACCCTCTTTATATAAGAAAACCCCTAACTTTTCTCTTTAACTTTCCTCTCTCTATCTTTCACCATTCAATTTACATAGCAGCCCTGCCCCCCCAAACTCAAGCCTCACTTTTTCTTCGTGGTTTTTCACCACTTCTCAATCTACTCAGATTCAAAGTTCAAACAACGTATTTAAACCATAGCCAAGAGTTATAATCTGTTTATATCTTTTGATCTTTCTAAAATCATTTTGGGTCCTCTCTCAAATCGAAACTTTCCTTGGCATTAACTTTTTCTCTTTTTTTATGAGAGTTATTTTTGGTTAAAGCTTTCTCTTTTTTTAGATGTTCAAAGCTTATTTGGACTTAACAAAAAAAAAAAAAATCTAAAACTTTATTCTTTTGTTCAAGTTTGTTTCTCTTTTTTTTTTTTTTTTTAGTTTGCAGCAACCTTAGCCAAATATTGCAGTAACTTTTGTCGAGCTTAGTTTTTTGCTTGGTTACTGAGCTTAGTCAACCGAGCTTAAGTAGCTCGACTTCTTTTTTGAGTCGAGGATCCAGAAAATTGAAACTCAATGAAGCTTGAGGTGAGCTTCGAGCCATGAATTTGGGTCGAGCTCAAGCTTTGTCTACTTGACTCGGTTACACTTCTATTTTCTTTGTAAATGTCAAATGACTGAGTTTCATTGCGGAGATGATGTGTTATGATATTAGTATCTGGTAGTTATAATCTGTGAAAGTTTGAAATAAGAAAGTTTGTGCACATGCTTTTATGTTGATGACTAGTAGTAATTCATGTTCTTGATTATTACAGCCAGGTTTGGATGGCAAAAATTGCATTGCTGATGAGCATTACTTGCCAACCTTTTTCCATGTAAGAATCATACTCTGGATCATGTTTCTGACTTTTCGCTATAGCTTCTCCTAATGTGTTTTTATTTCTGTGCCCTCAGATGATTGATCCTGGTGGTATTGCAAACTGGTCAGTAACACATGTTGACTGGTCTGAGAGAAAGTGGCACCCTAAATCATATAGGGCTCAGGATGTTACAGATGAGCTTCTGAAGAATATTACGGTAAATGTGCTTATCTCTGTATTTTTAAGCAATCCCATTGCAATAACCACGAGCCACTTTGTCCTTGATGCTAATAAGTGTGGTGTAGCATGTTGGTTAGAAAAACATACTTTCATCATTTGCCACAAAGAAAGGGAAAGTATGGCAATGCCCAACAACTTACCATCTTGCCTTTTAATGGATACACTGAGAATCTGATGTTCCTTTGTATGATGATGAATTCTTGCATGAGTTGTCATCTGGGAAAAACTGTAATAGATTGGGGTTATCAATAATGATGAATTTAGGTTCTGATGAATTTGGCATTATATTTTTGCAGTCAATTGACTTGAGTGTCCATGTAACAAGTAATGAAAAGGTATACATTTTAAACACATTTCTCGTACTTTGACGAGTTGATAAAATTACTAGATTCTGAATGTAGTTTTCCTTTTTTTTTTTTTTTTTTTTTCTGTATTTTCTCTAGAGTGAAGAGCGGGTACAAGCTTGCTTATGGAATGGAATCAAACGACCGTGTTACCTATTTGCAAGGAAATTCTATCCAGAAACCCTAGATAAATTGATGATGCTCCTCAATTTTTGACTGAATTCTTTGGTTGGATTGATGGTTTTTTCTTGATCCCTTCACTCCATCTCGGGTTCCCGTATAGATTATACATTTGTAAATGGCCATGTTTCCCAACCACAATTCTTGAGTGCAAGGCCAACTGGAAGAGCAGTTTGGATGACTTGAATGAGGCTGCTGGAGGCTAACGAGTTGTTAGTGTGGCGTCCTTCCAGATGGGTAATTTCTTGTCCATTTTTTCCCCCCATTTGTGCCATCATACATTATTATATATGTGGAAGAATTCTTGGGGGATTCATTTTTTTTTCCTTTTAAAGTTGAAAAACAAGACTGATGCACTCTTTTCTGGAAATATGAGCTTAATTTTTAAATCCATATAAAAATAATTGAGATCCTACTGTTCTAGTACGAGTATAATGCAGTTTGGTTTTATAGCATGAGTATAGTGCGATTTGGTTATAAAAAAATTGTTTTGGTTTTTAAATATTTTAATCAAACCTATCAAAATTATAATAAAAATCAGATCAAATCCAATTGAAATAATTTGGTTTGGTTTATTATTTGGTTTGTCTTTTAACAATATAAATTCAAACATGAAAGCGAAAAAAAAAAAAAATTCTTACATTGTTTGTAAGGTATCTCATCCCAGTTAAAAAGAGATTTAATATTGAATGCATGAGTTTGATATTAAATCAAACATAGTAATTACTTGATGTAAATATGCATTTGAATTAATGGTATGGTGTTTTCAGGCCAAAAAATTTATAACGGTATGGTGTTTAATATAATAAAGCTAGAGGTTTTTTTATATGCCTACGCGGAGTCCTAAAATTCTACAGTTGAGATTAAGAAATTTACAAAGTTATTTTTTTGTTATATTAAATCTTCTTTAAAGGGATTAAAGGTTGAAATCTTATAGCTTACCAAAACTTTTTGAATGATAAAATAATCGCTAAAATCAATTTAAATATCAAATTTATATATTTTAAGTGTTTGGTATAGAGTAATTATTTAAAAAATTATGGTAATTTATGTATGATGATTAAATTACTATATTTGGTAATTATTTGGTGATCTTACGTTATGGTGATTTTAGATTACTAAAAGTAATTAGATTACCACTTTAGAGGGTGTCAATATTGTTTATTTAATATATGAATTAAAAATTTAGTTTTTTTTAAAATTAATTATAATTATTTTGTATTATAATTTTTATATTTTAAAATTAACGTTGTAACAAGTTCAAAAATATTGTGTGATTTTTTAAATTTTTAAAAATTTATTTATTATATAATTTTTTGATTTTAATATATTAATTTTATTTTTTAATTCAAATATTTTTTGCATAATTTTCACTATAAAACTAGTTTATTATCAATAAACATATTTTTAATTTAATAATTTAATTATATTTATTATGAAATAAATAAAATATTACTAATATTTTATATATAAATTATTATTTTTAAATAATATTGAAATCTTTAACGTGTATAGTTATTATAATTTGCATGATTATTTTGATACTTTCAAATAAAATTTAATAATAAGATTTTCTTAAAGATTAAATTATTATGATAATTTTGAAAATAATACATACTGTTACATAATAAACTGAACATGCATTACAAATATGGTTTTGTATCCCTTATTGAACTAGACATATCACTAATTCTTGATTCAATCGAATGATCGACTGGTTTTCTTTATTGACAAACACTAGATTTTAGTCGCTTGATAGCAATCCATATTACAAGAGTATCCTTTAAATCATATTCTAGCATCATATAGAGAACACCACTAGCTAGTTAACTCACAGGATACTAGAGACAATTCAGCCTTTATGGTGGAGCTGGAAGCCCATCTTTCTTTAGAATTTTGACTAAGGAAGATGGGGCATATTTACCCAATTTGAGATGCACATCTTCTCTTTGAACTGAGTAGTCACCCAGTCAGCCGCTGCATTAGCTTTCCTATTGATATTTACGAATCTCATATCTTCAAAATTGTTCTATTTTCACTATAAAGGTTTATGTCTTTAGTGGTGTTTTTTTCAACATAGCAATGTTTATAAACGCCACTAAACAATTTATGCCATTTGCAAAAAATACTGTTAAGAGTGTCGACTATGTACGCGTCGAAGGAAATTGAAGCATTTTATAAAAAATATCACTATTTTAATGATGTTTATATTTGAAAAACACTGCTAATTTAGTAGTGTTTATATAAAAAAATGCCGTAATATGATGACGTTTATATTATAAAATGTCGCTTTATTAACCAGCATTTGTTAGGATAATCGCTATTAAATTAGCAGCATTTGTATCATAAAAACGTTGTTAATTTTAGTGACGTTTTATGGTACAAACGTCATTAAATTTAAAATTTAGTGGCATTCTTAAATACAAATGTTGCGAAATTAAGAAATTTACTTTTTTTTTAAAATTTATTATTTTTATTAATAGAAAAATGTTAAAAGAAATAAAATCGAACTTAAATTTAGAAACTAAATTTAATAAATACATAATTCATGTTCAAATATGCATGTAATTAACACAAAATTTAATAATTAGTATAATAACATTCAAATTATTTTAGTACATTAATAAAAAAATTTTAAATATATGAAATTGATGACTATATAGATTTAGAAAACTGTCATTTGATGAATGGATTTTTCTACCTTTGTCACTAGCCTACTCAAGAACCAATTGAATAATATTATACAAGTTTTTAACACTTAATAATAAGCTATTTTTTATATTAAAAAATATAAAATTTACTAAATATAATACCTGAGTTAGTGGACCATCGAGATTAGTTTATGAAAATTGTTGTTGCACAAAATTCATAAGATGCTTGAATCGATTATGCAACTACTGAAATTTTGCACACTTTTAGTTTATTTTAGCACGTTCTTCTTCAATTTGGGCACGCTCATGTTCTCTTTCTGCTTTCATTTGCTGACAATGTTATTGCATAGTTTGCAACTCCTTTCTCAATATGAAAATATCTCACGAAGACTGACTTGCTAAAAATGTAAATTACTGAAAGCTACGTCCATACTAGGTAGATGGTGTTGGACCTAATCTAAGGCCTTGGACCTATCCATGCTTTTCTTTTCCAGCAACTTCTGTGAAAATTTAATTTTTCAATTTTTGTATGTTGACAGAACCATCAGATGCTTCGTCAATCTCAATAGCCATTTTCTCTTTCGCTTTCTCCTGTAAATTAATCAGATAAAACTATCAAGTTTAATGGTTAATTCATAATATGTTAAAAATAATAAATATTTACTTTTTGTTAAAATAGATGTAACAAATTACCATAATTTCTTATGTTTCGACATTTAGGTAAGATTTGTCTTTTTTTATATGTGTTAAGTGAAAAGTTCAACATGTCCAATTTTGTCACTCATCTCAATCTCTTATATAAAAACATATGTTATTATTAAATACATATAAACTGTAACTTATTCATCCATATCAAGCCTATCAATCAAGTTCAAAATTTCGAATAAGTTTAATATCATGTATTTAATCTGTCTAAATTGTTAAAATAGAAATATAACCATAAAATTATATTTTTACCCTTTATCAATACAAAAGTCTTAAACAAACATAAAGCAATAAAAGCATTTTGGCCTTTCACACATATTGATTATGAAAACCAAATTCAATTATTTGGACAAGTTTAATATCATATTGAAGCCATCCAAACAGTTAAAAGCCATCCAAAAGTTTAATTTGTATTTTTGCCTTTAAAAGGCAAAAATAGTCCTAAATAGATGTAAACGACAACTTTTTCACACATATCAACCGTAGAAACCAAGTTTAATCATTCGGACAAGTTTAATATCATGTATTGAAGCTATCCAAATTGTTAAAAAAGAATAACAACAACAATTTTGTATTTTTATCTTTTAACGGCACAAAAAGTCTAAATAGACGTAAACAATAACTTTTTCATACATATCAATCATAGAAACTAAGTTCAATACTTTGGTTAAGTTTAATATCATGTATTGAAACTATCAAAACTATTAAAGCAGAACAATAACTATTAATTTGCATTTTTACCTTTTAATGGCACAAAAAGTTTATTCATTCGGATAAGTTTAATATAATAAACTTACTATTTTTTTTTTGCTTTCTTGCAAAACTTTTTGATCCACTTGTATAGCTATATTTTTGTTGCTTTCTGCTACCAATCCTAATCTATTCTCTTTCTTGTCATAAAAAATAATTGCGTATATGGTAAAAATACAAATATTACCAACTTAAATCATAAAACACTTTTATTATTTACAATTAATATTAAAATTTATAAATTAGTACCTCTTTTTTTCTTGAGAACCAAAATCTAACTAATTATTCATATTACCGCCTAATCACATTACGGGATAAATTTTTCATTGTGGCGTCTACAATAGTATTTCGATCGAAATACTTTTTCTTCAAATTATGCTTATAGTCTTTTCATTTCTTTCCCAATGACTTAAGCACAAATGAAGTTGATATTTCAAGTACGAATCTTGATTGTAATATTACAAAAAAAAAGTTTGAATCAATAAATCAAATGTAAAATAAATATATTTTATATGTAATTAATTATACTAATACCTCAATAAAGTTTAAAGCATTGGCCTTAACTTCGGCTGGAACTTTATGTCATGTTTCATAATGAATGGGCAATTTCATTCCATTACGGGCAATCATGCCTAGAAATCCAACCAACAGTTGAGCCATTTAACCAATTAGTTGCCTATCAGAGTTTGCAGACACTACAATACGCTCGTTCGGAGGTAGTGCAAACCATTCATTCAAAGTTGTCCGGCCTCTAATCCTCTGTTGACCATTGTTATCAACTGCAAAAAATAAAAAGTCAATTTGTAAATTATCTTCTCTTTAATCATTATAATCAAATTCTAAATATGGGGTATATGATACCTGCATTCAAATTAAAAGCAAAATCAATTGACGGGATATTATCTAAACCTGGACCTCCCGTATTGCCAGATCCAATAATAGTTGAAAGGTTAAAAGTGACTAAGTTAGAACTGACAGTACATTCATTTCCCTTTAAAGGATTCAGTCCATAGCCAAGATCAATAGGTGTCGCATACGGTTCTAAACTAATATCTCTTATATATATTCCTTTCAATATACTCTTCCGCATTGTAGCTTAGCTATATCATAAATGCAAATATATAAAAGTCATTAGTTTAGAACATATATAAAGACATTGAGAAGTTAAGAAATCATAACCAACGATATATAAAGAACATATCGATTTAATTAAATTAAAAGATAATGCATGATTTACAATACAATAAATATACAATAACGAATATGACATTAATTACATACAAGCATTTATTACATTATGTCTTAAACACTCGAATTACAAAATATAGATGATCCATCATGGTT